GCAGCAGCAGCAGCAACACCAACAGCAGCAGCAGCAACAGCAGCAGCAGCAGGGGCTGCTGCCGCAACAGCTGTTGCAGCAGCAAACTGATCCACAGCAACTGCAGCAGCAGCCTCAGCAGCAGCTGCAGCAACTGCAGCAGCAGCCGCACCAGCAGCTGCAGCAACTGCAGCAGCAGCCGAACCAGCAGCTGCAGCAGCAGCAGCAGCAGCAGCAGCAGCAGTATCCACGTCGGCAGCAAACCCTCTCGCTGCAGCAGCAGCAGCACAAAGAGCAGCTGCAGCAGCTGCTGCAGCAGCAGCTTTCTCTCTATAGAAGAGAGATGGCTTTCTGTGCGGGCTGCAGCAGCCGCCCCTGCGATACAGACAAACCCTAACGGGGGGCCCCCACAGGGTACAAGGGGGGCCCCCAAGGGTACAAGGGGGGGGCCCCCAAGGGTACAAGGGGGGCCCCCAAGGGTACAAGGGGGGCCCCCAAGGGGTACTCAAGGGGGCCCCCACGGGGTACTGAGATGGGGGGCCCCCACAGGGTACTGAGATGGGGGGCCCCCACAGGGTACTGAGACGGGGGGCCCCCACAGGGTACTCAAGGGGGGGCCCCAACGGGTACTGTGGGTACTAGGGGCCCCCCGTTGTCTGTACCCTTTGGGGGGCCCCCAAGGGTACAGAAGGGGGGGGGCGGCCCACGATAGTGCCCAGCATAGGGTTGAGGGGGGGCCCCCGTCTGTACCCTCTTTTGTATACCCTGAAGAGGGTTTAGGGGGGCCCCCAATAGGGTACAGATGGGGGGCCCCCAATAGGGTACAGATGGGGGGCCCCCCATCTGCCGCAGCAGTTTTTGTTTTTTGTTTGGCTCGCTGTGGGGACCCCAGGAAACACAATATGCATGCAGCAGCAGCAGCAGCAGCAGCAGCAGCAGCAGCAGATGCAGCAGCAGCAGATGCAGCAGCTGCAGCAGCAGATGCAGCAGCTGCAGCAGCAGATGCAGCAGCAGCAGCAGCAGATGCAGCAGCAGATGCAGCAGCAGCAGCAGCAGATGCAGCAGCTGCAGCAGCAGGAGCAGTTGCAGCTGCAGCTGCAGCAGCAGCATATGCAGCAGCAGCAGCAGCAGCAACAGCAGCAGCAGCAGATGCAGCAGCAGGAGCAGTTGCAGCTGCAGCAGGAACAGCAGCAGGTTTGCGTTGATTTGTTTGTGGTGTCTATCCACAATGACATTTATTTATTTATTTATTTATTTATTTATTTTAATTTATTTATTTTAATTTATTTATTTATTTATTTTTTATTTGTTTTTATTCTCTGTA